TTAAGCAAATGAAATCCAAGCACGGGGGCGGGAATCCTCCGGGTGGCAGATTACATCATGAACGGGAGACTCACCCCAATCCCATGAGAGCAGAAATATTCACACCCGTAGTGGAATTCAAGCCCTCCCTTCCCTTCAAAGTTATACTGATAGCGCCATCTGGCTGAGCCAGTTCGCCGGGGGGGGGGGAGAGTGCCTCCCTTATGTTACCCATGGTAGCCAAGCAAAGCAAGCATGTGCAGCTGCGCAAAGGCAGGGATGAAGGTAAACAAAGAAAGCATGACAGCTGACATAAGATCGTCTGGAAGTTCAGGATTGGGAGTTATCAATATGCAGGTGGAAGCCACCTCTGAATATCATTATCTAGCCCCCCAGATGCATGCACCTTGGCTCTAAACTGGTGCTCTGAGGCTGTGATAGGTGGCTAAGGCAAAACAAGCTGAAACTGAATCCAGACTAGAGAGGGGTGATGCTGGTAAGGAAGGTTTTTTAGAGGGTTTGGTTCCATTTGTCTTGGTTGGAACAGAGTAGGCTTTTGCTAAACAGATTAAGAGTTTGGAGGTATTCAAAGGCCCAACCATGCTGTTTGAAAAGTAGGTCATCTTAGTGGTCAAGAGTGCTTTCTATCAGCTACACCTGGTTTGCCAGCTCTGTCCTCTCTCAGACTGAGACAATTTGGCCATGTTGATCCATGTTCCTATAACCTCATGGTTGGATAACTGTGATGTGTTCTACACTGGGCTGCCCTTGAAGGTAATCCAGAAACTGTAGCTGGTTCAGAATACGACAGTTACGGACTAGCCATTGGGAACATATCTCACTCAACTTAAAGCAGCTACATTGGTTGCCAGTTTGTTTCCAAGTCCAATTCAAGGTGGGGTTATGACCTTAAGGCCCTTCAAGACCTAGGACCCACACTATTTCCTCCCATATGTCCAAGTGTGCCAACTACAGTCTTCAGGCTGCCCCCTACTGGCTGTTCTGTGCATGTGACATAACTGTAGAATTTCCTCTTGAGCGATATTTGCTTGATACTATTTTTGTCATCTTTGTAGTGCCAGGTGAAGTCTGGCCCTTTGCTTAATCTTTTCGTAACTCCTATTTTATTGCTTCAGCCTTAGTAACATCTACACTAGATTACTATTACACACTATATGTGAGGCTGCTCTTTACTGACGGTTAAGAAACTCCAGCTACTAAAAAATGTGGCTGCAAGCAGTCTAAATTAATACACATGTGAAATTATTTTTACTTGTAAAATGTAATTAATTGTAACTTTGACCAGTTTGCCCTTTCAAATGGTGGTTTTTTTGTCAGAAAGTCACTAATTTTTACCTCAAATACAGTACAACAGGTATCTTTCCGGTGAAGGAAATTTCTTTCAAAAAAGTGAGGCAATTCATAAATTCTTTACAGTTCTTTACAGACTCAAGTTTGACTCATCACTCCGCTATAGAAGCCCAATGAGTGATCTTGAGTCAGTTACACATTCTCAGCCTAGCCTACCTCATAGGGTCACTGGGTGTTAAATAAAATGTTGTCCAAGTCACACTGTAGGTAATTGGTTGTATCTTGGCTAAAATCTGCTAGGTGACCCTGGGTCAATTACTCACTCTCAGTCTTTTTTGTCAAGCTAAAACAGAGGAGGAGAATGGTGTAAGCTGCTGTTACTTCCCATTTAGGAGAAAGGTGGGGCATAAATGAAGTAAAATAATGCTGAAGACTGGGAGTGGCAGATAAATGAAAGATTGGCTGGTGTGTGGGAAGAAGGAGGGGGAAAGGATATGGGAGGTGCCAAAAGAGAAAGAGGAAATAGTGTTGAGAAAAAGAATATTGGGAATATAACCCCTCAAGTCCTTGCACGTTCCCCACTTGTTCTCTTGTTTCAAAACTGGCAAAAGCTAATACATAATTAAGCACCTTATAATACAGCTTATAGCTTCATGTCTTACATGTGCTATGCAGTATAGAACTAAGTTACGTGTAATGTGTTTCTTATTGTTGTTGTTGAGTCGCATAGTTGAGTCCGACTCTTTGCGACCCCATGTGTTTCTTATACTAAAGCAGTAAAGAAATGTTGGGGGGGGGCGTATTTGTATGTGTGGGCATGTGTGTGTGTGCTTGTGAGCCTGGAAGTCATGGTGATTTCCAGTGACTCCTAGTGGGTCTAGGACATTTTCAGAGAGGTGGCTTGATTGCCTGTATCTGCGTCTCGGCCCTGGTATTCCTTGGAGGTCTCCCTTTCAAGTACTTGTCAGGGTCAGCCCTTCTTTGCTTCCAAGATCTGAGGAGATCAGGCTTGCCTGGGCTACCCAGGTCAGGGCACACTACAGAAAATTTTGATTTAATAATGAAAGTAAGTACTAGTACTGTATCTATTCAAATTTCCCCCAAGATTTATTTTTTCCTAAAGGCAAAATATCATGCCTTCAAAATGTCCAACGAGTTTACATCCATACTCTCAAGTTCAAGACCAAGCTATCACATTAGTACAAGCAAGCACTAGAGCTAAACTTCTACATTTGACAAGAAGTTGCCTACAAATATTGTGAGGTTTAAAAAGCTGAAATTAATAGAACAGTAATGGAAGGTCAGTAGCTCAGCAGTTCGAGACCCGGGTGCCGCAAGACGGAGTGAGCTCCCGTCTCTAGTTCCAGCTCCTGCCAACCTAGCAGTTCGAAAGCAAGAAATTGCAAGTAGATAAATAGGTACCACTTTGGTGGGAAGGTAACAGCGTTCCGTGCGCCTTGGTGTTTAGTCATGCCGGTCACATGACCACGGAAATGTCTTCGGACAGCGCTGGCTCTTCGGCTTTGAAACGGAGATGAGCACCGCAACCCTAGAGTCGGATTCGACTGGCTTTCGAGCAAGGGAACCTTTACCTTTTTAATGGAACATTGTTATAAAAAAAATCATGTTCGACAGAAATGATATATATTTGAATTCTCATTGGATGCATTCAGATGCTGTAATAAACTACAGTTTGATTAAACTATGGATAATTTAACACTCTGGTTAGTCCTCAAGATCTAACTGGCTAGGTGGTTGCAAGGGATGCAGCTGCTCAACAAACGATGACTTGTAAATTTAGATGTCACAACAAACCACAATTAGTACCAGTAGTGGATAACAAATCAGCTTTAAACACTAAAGTCCAAAGACGGTTAATTACGATGGCATGGATCATAACCTTCAAATTTTGGCTGCGCCTTCATTTTAGATCTGGCCCAAACAGTCGTGTGGTGCAAATGTTAACTGAATCCCATCTATCGACTTGGTTGATTAATATAGAGAAAACAATTTCTATAATCGGCTTTAGTTTTGATGACTTGGTACTTTTGTCTGAGCAGAAGGCTTTTGCCTTACTCAAACAAAGACTTTTCGATATAGAGGTGCAAGATCTGAGAAGACTTGCGCACAGACATTGCTCTCCGTGAGTATGGGACTTTCTTTTAGCCATATTTCCTCAGGATACCTGGCAAGACTGATTCAGCCCCATCTTCGTAGGGCTTTCATGCTAGCATGGTTCGACGTCCTTCCCTCAGCTGTTCTATCGGGAAGGTTCAACAAAATTCCCTATAAAGATAGATTGTGCCCCTGTGGGATGGGGGAAATCAAATCCATTGGACATGTGCTATTGTACTGTAAATTCCACTGTGACATCCGTATTGTTTATATTGAACTTGTGTTGGACCCCCTTTTGGGCCAATCTGATGAGCATAAAATTAGTTCTTTATTGTCTTTGCATAATATAGAAATTCTGGAACCTGTAGCAAATTTCTTTTATGAGGTATCTAGGAGGAGAGGCTCATATTAAGGCAATTCGGAATGTGATACCCCTCCAGCCTATCTTGAGGCTCTATGCTGCATGTGTATTTGATATTTTATGCCAATAAAGGTATTGGATTTGTTTGCATAGTGCCTAAAATTTGGCAATAGGTAATTACTGAATATACTGTGTTGTCTTCACAATGACAAGAAAACTAGAACTCCCCCAGCTGACAAATTGTTCTCTAGCTAGTGTTTGAATTTCAGTGATATCACAGAATGTTGATAATTATGCTGCTTTTCAGTCAGCAGTATGTTACAATCAGCATGGCCTCTGTTTGGCAGTGAAAAAATTAGTCTGTCTGTAGAACAACCTTACAGTAGGGACATTTCATTACAATTCAAACTGCTGAAAAGGCAGCAGGGAAGTCCACAATCTGGTTGCATATCTGAAGAGGAAAACACTCTGTGTTATAGTATTGTTGGGCTAGATTCACAAGAACAAGACTGATACTCCTTAGCCACTCTCAGTATGCCAAATTCCCATCCCTGACTCAGGGACAGGAGCAGCTGCATGGAAAGCAAATCTAATTGGTACGTGAGATGAAGGACAAAAAAATCTGCAAAGGTAGTGGAAGAAAGGGGGAAAATAAGGCTACAACCATTAAGACAATAGTGAAGGAAAGGAAAGCACAAAAGGCCAAAGTTGAAAGGGGCTGGGAAAAGAGGAAAGATGGCAACAATAAAGAAAGTTTCACACAGGATCTATGGAGGAAAGCAGTTCTTGTGAAAATGAAACCAAAGAGCTGGACTGCCAGAGAAACTACAATCTGGGAAGCTGAATGCAAAGGCAACTCAAGCCTAAATAAAGAAAGCAGGACAAAGGAACCAGAAATAAAGGAGAAACAGAGGTGAGCAAATTAATAGCCAAGTGGAAATAAGAGTTGAAGGAAGACACATTGTTGGCCGGAACAGAGTGAAAAGGCATGTGTTCTATGCAAACTGACATGCCAAAACTGTTAAACGGGGAGGGGTATCCAGAATTAAGGTAGTTCAAGGAAATGATAGAACAGGCAACAGCAAAAAACTCAGAGACTTAATATTACCAGACTACTAAAATGTTTTGCACAGAAACAGTTTGCATTGCTAATAGCAAATAAGAGATCACATTTCACATACAACAACAACAATCTTTCACCTTTATAAAATGTGCATCCCCATAACAATTTTACCTGTAAATGCGGCGGTCCCATAGGTGGAGGAATTCCTCCCGGGGGCGGCATTGGAGGCATATTTGGATCAAATGGAGGTCGTCCAAAAGGAGGCCGAGGAGGTGGTGGTGGACCTCGCATCATACCAAAAGGTGGTGGTGGGCGCATAAGAGGTGGTGGGCCTCTCATGACAGTGTTTGGTGGGGGAGCTGGACCACGAAATCTCAATGCTTGCTGTTGAGCCATTCTGTGGACAAAATCAAAACAAAGCAGTTCTGTCTTCAAGCTTGATCACTGAAAGGGCACTGATGTTATAAGCGAACCAAAACATTGTGCCAAACATTCTCATGAACAATTCTGGGGCTCCAAGCTTTACCCTCACAATTTAAATGTGTTAGAAAAATTATCTAGACTGGGGCAACTTAGAATGGAAAGGAACTGCACAAGTTTCCCTCCCACAGGCCTAGTTACCAAAGCACCTCAAACATGAGGTACAAAACCAATAACTCTTCTATGTATAACCTAGGCTTCCTGCACTTGTTGCTAGTGCTAAATTCCATGGCACCCACTGGTTACATTGTATAATGTGAATGGGCATCCACCACACACTTGGATGGTAACATCTACATCCTTTTCACTTGTGACCTACAGCAACCCCACTGTACCACCCTGCCCCCTTTGATGTATCTTAGTAAATGTATATATAGAAAAAAGTTCACCTTTGTAACCAACAAACGCTCTTCTGATGCTCTCAGGAAAACAATTTTGCCCACCATTTAGTGCCAGTGCAATACCAATGTTGGCATGATGACTCAAAATTGAAAAAAACAAAGGTTATAAGGTGGTGAACGACAACAGACACATAATTCAACACTCATTATTCAGACACCTTCCAATTTAAGAAGCTGTATAGCATCAAGATGTTTAGAAATTATCTTACTGTACATAAAGCATAAATTTGTGATGTGATGCCTTAAATGACCACTGCTATCACCAGCGTAATACTACTTTTACCACTGTGTTACTACTTCTGATAAAAATACTTGAATATATAAAATCCAAGCATATTTTATCAGTTAAGCAAAGTATACAATTCAGCCTTTTCCAGCTGCAGCTCATGGATAGCTTTTACTAAAAATAATTCTTTGTAACTGATACAATAAGCACGTGTTTTGTTCTTACGTATTAGTCTTCAAGAACAAAAAGTATATTATAACTAGTGCTCTCTAGATTAACCTCTTTCACAAAAAATGTTCCTCTGCCAGATCTGGAAACATTCTATGAAACTGGTAGTAATACATAACTTATACAATGATGATTTTTAACTTTATGTAAAATATCCATAAACAGATCCCTGTTGTGGATTCACTACAAAGTATTTTCATATGCCAGTGCTCAAAAACCCCCATAAAAATTAGTAGACTGTTTTTAAGTACAAACATTGTATTAAATGGTTGGCTGGTATATTACAACAGTTATCTATTTATGCAGAGCTTCTATTATTAACTAGACATACCAAAAAAAACCTGCTTTCCTGGCTGAGGAAAAAAAAGGTCTGACCCTGCCAGAATATTCAGATTTCAGGTGCTACATTGACCTTCTTTCTTCACATTCTTCACATTCACCACTCACTGTGGAAGCCAGCTAGGATTACCACCAGTTCACCTTTGACACAGGCCTGGTCAAGAGGAGAGCTGGCACTATTTTACAATGAGAACTCAGGTCATCCTTCCCTAGACTTCCAAAATCCTAGCTGCTGGCATCACTGCAGCAATTAAACACACAGAGAGGCCTACTCAGTCTGCACAGGCTGCCATGGTTTCTTGGTCATGCTGGAGTTTTAAAAAAACAACACTGCCTTCTACACATAATACTGAGCAAGTGTACAGAGTCTGCCGTAACACCTAGTGATCAATTAACACCTACATGAAATAAGCTCCTGATACAGACTGCTTCAATTACTTATAGTCTGTTACAGTATGTCTTAAACCACATGGTGACCTTGAAGAATTACTTCAGACTAAGACCACTGAAATCAACAGGCTTCGATTGGAGTAAATCTGCATAAGATTACACTGCCATAATGTCAAATAAGATGCAAAACAACTAGCATTTCATTTAGCTGTTATGACCTGGCACACACTACTGCCTTCCAACCAGCACGAACATGTGTAAAGTTATTTTAACAACTCTCTCTCATTCCTCTCACAAACACATTATACTTTCCTATAGGAAAAGTGAGAAACGTGCATGTAAGGTGGTCACAAACAACTATTTAGCTTCGTAGTCAGTATATATAACCTGCCTGTACACAGAGAAAAATTCAAGTATCTGTGAATACATGGTCTTCACTACGTGGATGTGTCTATTTATGACTGGAAAACTTAGCCAGTGAAGTAGGCTTCATACAGGGCATAAAACTGTCTGGTTAATATGTTGCACAGGCAAGGAAAACTTACTGGCTGATTCTCTCTCAACTTTTTGGTGGATTTGAAAAATACCCCTTTTTTATCAAATAAATGCCCAGTGCTTCAGTGCTTACATTAATGTGAAAAACCCTCAGGGCTTTTGGCCCAGTGTTTTCTACTTTGACTAGCAACCAAGATTTTGGCTGAGTTTCCCCCTTCCCATTACCTTCTGGAGATACATGTCTTTGAACCTGCCCCTTACACATGCACTGCATGTGCTTTGTCACTGAGTTACCAGCCCTCCCTATAAGCTAGTGCTTTCCGGTGGCAGAAGAACAGAAGACTATTAGACCAGTATTGGGGCCACTGCACCCACTTCATAAAGCTCGTTAACAGAACAAAAGTATGTTACACAGAAATATACCCCCACAATTACAGGGCTTAGCTTCACATAAGCGCGCCTAGAACTGCAGTCTCAAGACCGCCCCCACCCATTAACGTGTGGAAACGGGCAGCTAAAGTTTTTTTATGACATGGAACTCAGGACATTTTTCTCCAGACCTGTTGGCGACCCCACACAAAACGCCAACAGAGAGAAAGTTGGTCAGAAGTTTCAGTAGCCTCAACACCACCAAATCTAAAAAACTTTGTGGAAGAGCGATTTTTAAAAGGGGGGGGGGCGCTACCCTCCAGCCCGTTGCCCAAAGTCACATGGGAAACCTAATGAGAGTTAAACGGTCGGGGCAATTAACGGGGAGTCTCACCCTGACAAGAAAAAAAGACGCTTGAAGCGAATGTACGGGGGGGGGGGGGGGGGGGGGGCGGAGACGGAAAGGTCGCTTCCGCCTCGAGGCTGATCGCAAGGTAGATGCGAGCGGGAGGGCGGCCGTGATCCACGCGCGCGCTCTCACAAAGGCCTCGTGCTCATGCGATGAACATGAGCACCTCCACCGCCAGCGCGGGCATCGAGAGGGATATTTCGTCTTACCTGATCTCATTATTGTAACGCTCCGCCGCGCCAGCGTCCCCTTCGCCGCCACCAGGTCTGGCGCCGCCACTAGCACCACTACCGCTGCCACCTCCTCCTCGTTCCGCCATCACCAGCCGACTCTGCCGCCTCACACGCCCACCCCCACGAAGCCTAGCTCCGTCTCACTGGCTAATGGCCGCGTCAATCACATCGCGACAGCGACTGAGCCGAGCCCGTATTTGCAGCCTTCGCCGCCGATTTTGAATGAGGGCTAGAAAGCGAGCACTGATTGGGTAGTTTTGCTCATGAGCCATTACGTAGCCTTTCGCATGCGCTCCTTGGAGGCCGGGACGGGGGCACGACACGTGATCGGTAACCCGGAACTGATATAATTTTTAATATATATATAAAAAAGGCCGTTCGTTCCTCTTTTATCCAATCAGTAGGGAGGGGAAATGTACTCAGTGGGTTGGTGAAGTATTTCATCCAAAGAAACGTGGGCTCTTTCTATGAGTTAATCAACCCAGAAAAAAAAAATCCAAAATGAAAGGCGGTTAGCCCAATCTGGAGTACTAAGGAAAAGGTTGGCGCAGTCACGTTGAAAACGGGGTTGAACTACGGTAGTCAATAAGCAGAACTGGAGAAACTACAGCAATAGGGCTTGCACTGCGGAATTGTGAAAACAAGCAGTTGCAACAGAGCTGAAATAAACAATAAGCATGGAACGTTAAACAGTGCGGAGAGATTACCTAGTAGGGGCATACTTAAGTTACAGCAAACGAAAATTACACTAGTACAGCTTACGGGCACTACCCCTTTACCAAAGCATCTTTCTGAACAGCCCTCTTACCTGTCTAAAAAAAGCCGACCTGAATCATTCAGTTTGTTTGCAGAAAGCCAAGGGAATGGGAACCTTTCTGACTTCAGCAGGCAGGTCATTCTATAAGATGGAAGTCACAATCAAGAATGTTCAGGTATAGACGGTTGTTAATTTTGGCCATTTGCAGGGTGGCACCTGCAGAAGGCCCTGATCAGATGAGTTAAGCTGTTGTGTGGAGCTTATGCAGAGAGGTAGTTCTGTAGACATCGAGGGTTTTGTATAGAACAAGGTCCCAAAAAGCAGGTTCGTAGCTAACATTTTATTTTTCAGGGGGCTTTTAAATTTTTAAGGGTTTTTTGGGGTAGCTAGGCCCTGTTTCTGCAGTGCTCATCTGGAATTCCAGAGGTTTGCATCCTTGCCTGGGAGGCTCCCAGCGCCTGCTCTTGGCAACTGATAGCGCCTGGCTGTTACTTCTCCCCATCTCATCCACGCCAGGCACTGGGAGGCTTTGCACGGCGAAACCCGCTTTCTGTGGAAATCCGCTTCCGTGCGTCAAGCCCTGCTGACCCTAAGGCAAGGCGACCCCTCCTTGGAAGTCAGTCAGTCCCACTGCCTTACCTGCTCTGTCCGGGGTAATAGCTTTTACCTGTGCCTGGGTTTCAGCCTGTGGCTTTCCTTGCAGGAAATGGAAGCGTGGGTTGGGTGCCCACAGAAGGAACTACTTAGGGGTCTCCCTTGCTTGGGGTGCTCTTTGGGGTCCAGCGCCCCACACTGTCTAAGTGCCGATCCAGAGGAAGACTGCCGGGCTGGGGTGACTTTCCACTCCTCCCCCCTCCCTCCTAGTCAGCTGTCTGTTAAACTGCGTGCTGCTCCTGGAGTGGGTGAGCAGGAAACATCTGGCTTACCTTGAAGGCCACAGGCCAGGAGAGTGAGGAGGGCACGGGGGTGAAACAGCCAGGCAGCCCAGCCTGCCAGGGCCCGCTGGGGGCAGCCAGACTCAGCTTGCCAGTGGCTCAGATCGGCATGACACGGGTGCACACCTGTAATTTACATTTTTTAAAAAAAATTAAAATTAGGTGTTCAGGATTGGAGGTTGTGGGGCTGTGCCTTTAAGAAAGGGGGCAGAGCCCCCAAAAGCCCCACCGTAGCTACGGGCCTGCTAACATATCACCCATTGAAACTTTCCTGGTGCTCATCAAGTGTTTCTAGAAAATGGATGGAGCCAGATAGGGCTCTTGCCCAGCAAGGCTTCTGATTGGCTGTACAGATTTAAATGGTGTTGTTTTGGTGGCAGTTGCCACCACACTGTTAGCATTATTCTCCTGCTCACATTATTCTCCTGCTCACTGTTAGCATTATTCTCCTGCTCTCCTCCAATATTATTTTTTAAAATTACCCCTCCTATTTCTGGTACTTGGGCTTCCTCTATGTGTGTATGTGGCTCCACTCGAGTTGCCAGACACCCCCCCCCCTCCGGTGGAGGTGGCGGTTTCCCATTGACAGGCTCCACTCCCCACTGCTGATCAGCTGGCTGGCTGGGGGGGGGGATTTACCCTGAAAAAGAGGGAGATCCATCCCACATGCAGCTATGTGTCTACATCACTATGTGACTCAGAAGTGACATCATCATATCTGGGATGTTGGGATAATGGTCTGGTATTTGGCCAAAAACTCTATGGTAGAAGCCAAATTTACCATATAGTTTTTGCCCAAGTACCAGAATAGATTTTTCCTCTGTTTTTCTTTTCCTTTTGCATCTATTTAGTGGTGATCTAATTAAGAGCTAGCAGGGTTTCCCAATTCCCCCTCCACAATATTGTCCCAGGAGCGATTAGATACCCAGCCTTCTTAATGCAATATACATTGATAAAACTGATCAATACATAGGGGGCGAGGGGAAGGGCTAATGCAAGCGAGGCTCTTGGCGTTGCCCCAAAAAGTGATGTCTCCAGACTTTGAACAAGGCACCAAAGTATATGGCGGCTAACTTGGTCTACTCCTTTGCAAAAGTTACCTGCATGAGGGCAGCTTGGCAGGGCTTCTCTCCCACTTCCCAGTAGAAGTTTTTTGCTCAGAGTTTCACTCATTTTGAAACGGGGTGGACCCAAACATAAAGAGAGAGGAAGGAGCCAACTTCTGCCTAGGTTTGCTTTCTTCTCACTGTTGCTCCTGCACATGCACAACTGTATGTTAATAAGAAGCCAAGCTAGGCACTGCTAGCTGCCGCTGCTACCAAGTGCAAAATTCCAAATCAGAGTGACGATCATCTTGAAGCTGGCGGGGGGCTTCTTGTGGCCTGTATCTCTGTGCATGATGGGAGGTAACAGGCATCTGCCCAGGCAAAGGCCAGGGAAAAAAATCCTGCTGCTACAAATGGAACTCCACCTTAAGCCGCCAAATGTAGGGAGGCTACGGGTGGTGATGGAGGCGCCAGCACGTGTGACTGCGGGAAGGGAGGAGCTCATGCTGCTCAGACTAGCCCACGCACCACCACTTCCAACAGCCGTAGTGCCTGCCAGGCAGAGGGTCCAGAGGGTCCGCATCATGCAAGCAAGGGCTGAGGCCAAGGCGGAGCAGCGCAAGGAGGCAGCAAAGCCCCAAGGGAGGCAGCAGCTCTATGACCCGCCTCCCACTGCAGCCCCTGGCCAGGAGGCACAGCACTACCAGGAGTGGATCCTGCACACCATCAACTTGCTGCTCTCGCTTGGCTGCAGTGAAACCGAGGGGTCCCCACCCACACTGGGGGGTCTGGCATCTACTGTGAGTGGGCTATGCACATCTATGGGGGGCCACTCACCCCTGGCTAGCTGCAGGCCAGCCCTTTTGAGACTGAGCCACCCTAGTTGTCTGTTTTCTTCTTTCATGAAGAATTCTGGCTGTCCTACCCTGTCACAGTATAATATTTTGGCTGAGGGAAGGAATGGAAGCCCCTTTTAACTTATATGACTTAAATGGCACTTGAGAAGTTTTTATGTTCCAAATTAACAAAATATTTTATTCAGTATAGAGGGAAAAGGTCAGGAAATCAAGGGTAAAATTTCTGTGGTACCTCAATATAGAAAACTCTGAGGTAAAATCAGTACATGTACAGACTTTAGTTCTTATGTTTTAAGTTAATGAGAGTTTCTTCAGCTATTCACAATTTTTTTTAAATTTAACATTCAATTTATATACCGCTCTGACCCCGAAGGGTCTCTGAGCGGTTTACACACAATTTGATTCCTAACTAGGGCCACAATTATAGAGGGGAGTGATTGCCTACCAGCACCCAGCAGCAGGGCTTGTTGCTATCTGGCTCCCTCCGGCGGTCTCAGAAGTCAGCGTTCCACATCCAATGTCCTGGAGCAGATCTCTTTCCGGTCCAGCGGCTTCCTCCGGTGGGCCCATCCAGTGCACGGCCCGCGTCAGCTGCAGCTCCGACCAACGTCCTTCCGGCTCTGCCGCACCGACATGCCACCACACCTCCGTGGCTCCGCCTTCACCTCCGCCGGATTCCGCCACTCACGTTGCGCTCACAGGCCATTCTCCACTCTCACAGGCCACTCTCACAGGCCACTCTCCACCACTCCATCACTCTACTGCCGCTCCGCCGCCGCCACTCCATCGCTGTCATTGCCGGTGCCTCCGCTGCACACCCCACAAGGAGGAGGGTGCCCCCTGCCACCTAGGGGCAGGTACCCATTTATCTACTTGCTGAATATTAATGCTTTCGAACCGCTGGGTGGGCGGGAGCTGGGACTAGGGCCAGGAGCTCACCCCGGCCGTGGTGGGTCTCGAACAGCCGT